TGAGAAATAAATTCTCCTTTATTTTTATTTAATTTAGAATTACCATCATAAAGAGTACTTACTGATTTAAAGTCATAATACCCAAAGTTTATAAGAAGTTTCTCTATGTATTGTTTTTGGAATAGTAGTATATTATTTCCTTTCCTTATGATTCTAACTCCTAAAATTACACTAACTTTATTCATGTCTTTCATTTCAAATTTAGATCCTAGAAACAACTTAGTTATAGAGACTATCTCATTGCATGTACCAAAGATTAACATGGCATCTACATATAAACATATAATGACACATTCACTATTTTCGAGAGTACACACATTCATCAACATCATTAGGTGAAAAACCATCACAATGTAATACACTATCAAGTTTTTCATGTCATTGTTTTGGTGTTTGTTTCAACCGATACAAAAATTTTAAAAATTTGCACACTTTGTTCTCTTGACCAGGTACTATACACCCTTCAGGTTGAGTCATATAAATTCTCCCCTCTAATTCACCATTCAGAACTACAGTCTTAACATCCATTTAGTGTATAACTAACTTATGGATAGATGCTAGAGCTAACAATACTTGAATAAAGGAAATCCTAATCACAGGGACAAAAGTATCAAAATAATAAATGTTGGGTTTTTGAGTAAAATCCTTTGCTACTAATCTTACCTTATACTTTTTATGGATCCATCGAGATGATATTTTTTCTTAAAGGTCCACTTACAACCAATGAATTTTTCTCTTTAGGCAAATATACTTAAATCCAAGTATTATTTTTCTTAATTGAGTCAATTTTAGTCTCAATGACCTTATCCTAACGTGTTGCATCATGAGTACTAGTAGCTTCTAAAAAACTCGTTAGATCATTTTCAACTAAATAAGTATAAAAATCATCTCCAAAGGAAGTTTCCTTTCTCTATTTTTTACTCCTCCTCAAATCTTCATACATGTCATCACTATTAATATATATTAGTTGTTTAAGTGTCTCACTAACCTTTAAAGGAAAAAATATGTTTAAAAAACTCAACATTTTTTGTCTCTACTATATGTTCAATTACATCACTTTTAAAGATAAGAAACTTATAAGCAGCACTATGTTCCGCATAGCCTAAAAATATATAATTAGAAGTTTTAGAGCCTATTTTCCTTTTTCTTAAGATAGGGTAACATTACCTTAATTAGACAACCCTGCACACTTAGGATTAGGTTGATAACATCTCCATAACTCATAGGGAGTTTTACCATTTTTCTTATATTGTATCGTATTTTGTAAAAAGTATGTTATAAGTAGAGCTTTTCTCCAAAGGTTATCGGGTGCACTAGAACTAAAAAACATAAAATTCATCATTTCTTTAAGAGTTATATTTTTTTCTTCTCAGCTACTCCATTAGACTCAGGTGAGTATGATGGGGTTACTTAATGAACAATACCTTCTTTAACACAATATCATTAAACAATATATATTCATCACCTCTATTTGATCTAATCCTTTTAATTTTTCTGTCTAATTGATTTTCTACTTCCGCTTTATAACTTAAGAATATGTCAAACGCTTTATCCTTATGTTTGATTAGGTACACTTTGGTGTATCTAAAGTAGTCATTTATAAATGTTATAAAAATTGATGGATCACACCAAGAAAATTATCAAAATACCTCAAGATAGTAAATGTATTGCACTAATTTCTATTTCAAAAACAATTTCAAAGATTGCTTTGTAAAATTGTGTGTTCCAAATGAAACTAAGCAATTGACATTTATAGAGAGTTCTGATACTTTTAATTGATTCAATTGCTATTTTAATCGATTTATTTTACTAAAAGTCCAATTAATTAATTATTTTGCACTTTTAATCAATTAAAAGACTTTTACAAGAAAATTGACAAAAATGTTTTAAGTCATTTTAACTTATAAGAAATTGTTTAATCGATTAAAAAAGAAAGACTTAAAAAATCAACTAAGTGAAGTGATTTGTTTTAAGTGATAAAAATAAAGTTAATCGATTAAAATAGTAAGACTTGAAAATAAACTAAATACAAAGGTGCATTTAACAAATTAACTTCCCGTTTAATCGTTTAAAATGTCTTGTCAAAAAATTCATTTACCATGAGAATTTTAAGTTATTAAAACTCATTTTAACATAGTAAGATTAAAAAACAAGTGACAATGGATAAAAATATTTTAATTGATATATTTTTCATTTAATATAATTATAAACCTCGTTTTCTTCAAAAAAGATAAAAACGTTTTAATCGATTAAAATCACGATCTAATAGATTAAAACTTCGAAACACATGTTGGTTTAAGGTTTTAATGAAATTAATCTATTAAAACAATATTTACTCCATTAAAATATAAACCAAAAATATTTAAATAATTAAAAGGATTTTTAATGAATTAAAAATACTTAACAAATTTCAAATATCAAACACTCATTCAAAAGTGGGTAACAAATCAATTAAGAGAGAAATTTTGCTTACAAAGAGGTATTCTAGAGACACACGAGATGGTATTTACACATTCTTCAAGTTAGATTTTGGCTTAATCAAATTAACATCTTCTTTACTATATTTATCAATGAAGTCCCAAGTCACTTCCTTATACCTTTTATCACTCCTTTCGTTTTTAACTGATTCATTTTATAATTATTTATTGAATCAATTCCATGTGATATATGTATCTTGTCAAGTATTCAATATATTTTCTTACCAACGATGTTCCATCATTATAATTTACTATAATGAAATTGTTTTATTATAGATTGTTTATAGGAAGGTGAACTATGAGATGTTATTGTGACTTACAATGATTATTTTTGTGCTTACAACCCGTTTGACTCAAAGTTATGAATATTTGTGGTGCTTGATTGTAAATAAAGTGAGGGGCATACTCACCTAGATAATTATTTTCCAGAAAAAATTACCATATACACGATATATAGAGAATCCTATGTAGCAAAGTACTACCTAATTATGGCCATATTTCTATTCTGGCCATAGTTACTATAATTACTTTCGTTACAAATTCTTTTATTTTAACATTTAATTTCATATTGAATTAGTTTAATTTTATATGTATATCATAAACCATCACTAAAAAGTTTATTCGGTCTAATAGTTTTATTAGAGAAGTTTGAGATTTTTTTCTAAAATTTATTTAAGTTGATTCTTAAGTAAGAAGAATTTTTTTTATTATTATTAATGAAAGTTTTATCACACTACATTTAAAATCAGTTAGGATTTTCGATAATTAAATAAAGAATTTAATTAATTGTTTTCAAAATGCATATGAATAAAGAAATAATATTAAATATATAATAAAATATTTATAAGATTGTACCTTGCTTTATATTTGTGTTATTTTTGTATTGGATGTTATTGAAGTCTTCATGAGTCCATATAATTTACAAGTTGTAATTCTTTATTTTTGAGAACAAAGAACATAAAATGAATTTAACTAACACCAACATTTTTAATCTATGTGAAATTAGATACAAGTTAAAAAAACTATAACTGATTTAGATTTTAACAATATATTTATGTATAAATAACATAATGTTTAAAAAATATCATAAAAATAATAAATATTATTTTTTAAAAATAGTTTTATATAAAATATGTAAATGATTCCTATAATATATCAATTTTAAAGGTTTTGTTCCTAAAAGACATTGACCTTTTTATCCTATTATATATATATATATATATATATATATATATATATATATATATATAAACCATAAACCCTATAATATAAAATTTTACTATATTTTTCTTAACTAATAGACTCTTGCATTTAAATATCATTCAATTAGTCACATAATCACTTATACTAACATTGTATATTACAAAGACAAAAATGAAAAAGAAAACTTTGGGACCAAACTGATAAATCAAATAAAAATATCGTTGATGTAAAAAATGAATATTGATTATGTGCACAATCGGATTTAGTACGTTAAAATATAAAAATACCTTTTTTTACGTCAATTATTAGCCGGAACCAACATTTAAATATATATATTATATATATATATATATATATATATATATATATATGTATTTTTATTTTTATTTTTGCATTGTTGCTATAACATGTGTGATACTACATGCATTATATTACAATGAATGTTATACGAGAATGTAGAAAGTGATTTCTAAATTATGTTTTTGCCATCACGTTTCTTTTCACCATGATTTCTTTCTCTGTTTCCCGAGTAATAGACATATGTAAAAGGGTTTCTCGCACTAATGATATTCATTTACAAGATTTTTTTATGCAAATTTTTTTTTTTAATTCCAAATGAACCCACGTATTAATATATTGTTTCAAACATAACAAAATATTTTCTCCTTACAATTCATTATTTTTCCCTTTAAGTATGGACGAGTTATAAGAAAAGGATCCAGAATGCATTATGTACTTTTGTGAATAGTAAAAGTGAATTTAGCTAATTTTTATGGAGATTGGTCTCCATGGGGAAACGAAATTTCTGTTCAATTGCTTTTAGATATATATGTACGTCACATTCAGTCTTAGGTTTCTAAAAATACATAGTTACTTTATAGCTATATGGATAAATATTTTAACATAACATTTTACAGTTTGACAACAAACTCATTTGATTGGAAAGCTTTTCAATCTTCCTCTGCATTGTAAGAGCAGATTTTTCTTTTCGTGTTCAGCCCCATAATATTGGAGATCAACCTTCAAATTACAGTAGTTTTGCGGCATGATTGAGTCATGTGAAGGGAAGAAACAAATAGGATTCTAAGTAGTTTTATGTGTACATTGAAAAATGGATTTTAATCTTTATGACCATTGACTCGGGACAAAGTTGATGCTCTCTGCCTGACCAACCAAGAGTCTTTTACTAAAGAAAAAGGCTTCATTCGAAACAGGCCCAAAAAATAACTGCTGGTTCACTCTTTATTGCCATAACCAAGGCACAAAAACAAAACCAAAGGAAGGTTCATATTTTGTAGAAAAACAAGCAAAAGGAAAAACATGTTGAGAAGTCTTCAACCAGACTCCGGTTACAGAATCATCTTAGTTTTGAGACTGTCTTCTCTGTTAATTTTCTTTTCTTCAGTTGTGAGTGTTCATGGTTACCTTTCACGAGCTCATATGTTCATATATGCAGTCTGTTCTCAAGAAAAATACCAACCCAACTCACCCTTTGAAGGCAACCTTAACAGCTTTCTGTCTTCAGTGGTCAGTTCATCCTCTGAAGTAACATACAACAGCTTTGCTATTGGAAATGGAAGCTCAACACCACAAGAGGGAAACGTATACGGGTTATACCAGTGCAGAGGTGATTTGCACCCAATTGACTGTTCAAAGTGTGTGGGAAGATCTGTTAACCAAATAGGGTTGGTATGTCCCTATGCTCTTGGGGCTTCTTTGCAACTTGAAGGCTGCCTTGTAAGATATGAACATAGTGGTGATTTCCTTGGCAAAGTGGACACCAGTCTCAGGTTCAAGAAATGTAGCAAAGGTGTGACTAGTGATGTTGAGTTCTTCCGGCGTAGAGATGATGTTCTAGCTGATTTGCAAACAGCTAATGGATTTAGAGTCAGTAGTTCAGGCCTAGTTGAAGGGTTTGCACAGTGTTTGGGGGATTTAAGCATATCAGATTGCTCCTCTTGTCTTGCAGATGCAGTTGGAAAGCTGAAAAGCTTATGTGGATCAGCTGCAGCAGCTGATGTGTTCTTGGGACAATGTTATGCTCGGTACTGGGCATCTGGTTATTATGACGAATCAGGTCTATTTCAATCTCATTCTTCTTTTTCACTGTCACTTCAATATTCAGTAAAATTAGAGGCATTTTCCTATTAAAAAGCCAATTTATCCTACCCCTATAATGTCCTTTCTATACTTCAAATTCTTGCTGCTAATTAATTTATTGCTAATCCCACATAACTATGTTCTGAAGATGAGCACAAGTAGGAAAAAAATGATTATAACTAGACCATTTTGAGTGGTAGAGGAGCATGAAAAGAGAAAAATTTGAAATTGTTTTGAATATGATTTGAATTACTTACAGGGATAACATAAATGACCCCATTGTGAAAAAAGTGATCGGAAAATGGAGAGGAAGAAGAGGTACTAACAAATTGTGAAATGCATGGTCAATAATATTATATTATATGGGTGAAAGCTATCAGAATATATGCTTTTATACTTTATTTTGGAAAATGCCCACTTTGTGCAATTCCTCTTTATCCATTTGTTCGAATACCTTTTACTTAGTATCAAATTCTATATTCTTCACCTCTCAATTCGCTAGTGAAGCTCAGCACCCCATTGATTTAATTCAACTGTACTATCTTGATTGACCATAAAGCTTCCATTCATATTGAAATAGAAAACATCTTCCAAGCCCCAACAACTAAATGTTTTATATTCTTCCATGAATTCCAACTCCAAAATTATCTTCCATTGTATACTTAAGTAAAAGGTTTTTATGATTTTTATTAAAAATTTGAAAACTGTTATTTTTAGATCTTCTTAGAATAGTGTTTATTGAATAGTGTTTCTTCTTAGATCTAACTCAAAATAGTGTGGCAGCAATTCTGATAGCTTGACTTAAACTTGGTGTTTATTGCAGATTCCTCCGACAATGACCAAGTCGGAAAATCAGTTGCCATTATCGTGGGAGTGTTTGCAGGTCTTGCCGTTCTAGTTGTACTCCTCTCAATTTGCAAAAAAGCAGCAGGTAAGCATTTTCCTTTCCTAAAATGGCGATTACCACATATATATTATGAAATGAATTATCATTGAGAAGATGATGGTGGTCACAATCATTATTTCATTACATGCAGGTAAGTAGAGCGAGGTGCTGAAAGAAGGGGGAAATCATTAGAAAATGTCCTCAAATGTTTGTTTAAATTTATTGAAAACCATGCTTCCACATTTTGCATAATTTAATACATTATGTTTTTCCACCAAAGAAAGTGGGTGCTATCTTTTGGTTTATAAAGTAGAACTCTGTTATCCATCAACTTAGAGCCTTGCTCATGAGTCATGTCCAACAAAACCCATCATCATTCTTTTTCATTTTTTAAAGCCGTTTGTAGATTATTCTGAGCACTTCTTTCTAAATTACTTTGCTTTGCCTTTTTATTGTATTGACTTGTTGTTTAGCGCCCTCTAACAACGACAATTATAGGTTTAAGGCCTTAAGACAGCCAAACAATTTATTTTTTAATCACGTAGTGTATTTGTAAATTAATAGATTAAAAATATAAAAATAAGAAAATAAAATAAATTTTTTTAAATACTTAATAATAATTTTAACAAAATTAAAAAATATACTTATACCTCAAATAATATATATTACTAATTCAAATTATTATAAGAGATACAGATTGTATAAAACTCTCCAAGATTACTTTTTACTTTTTCGTGACAATTTAGACCAAAATCCCTTAGTCATGTGTATGCAAGAACCAAGAGGGAAAATTAATGGTTACACAATATTAAAAGTTTGAAAATTCCACGTTAACAAATGCAAAATGGAATTCCCGACGCGTTAAAATTTAGAGATAGTAAAATATGTTTTTAATATTTTAAAATATATAAAACTCAGTTTTAGTCTTATTAATTTTGTTATCTTTTTTAATCTCTTTTATTTGAATTACATGACTTTTTTTCCTCCATCACTATCTAAATAATGGAAAATTAAGAATTAAGAATAAATTAAGAATACATTTCAAACACGAAGAGGCTAAAGGATATAGATTTTATTATTAAAAATAATTATTTTTTTCATTAGTAAATCAAGTAAATGATAATATGAATTAATTTTTTGTGTTGTGATACTTCTGAAGAAAACTTAAGTCAACGAGAAATTAGTTGTATAATTAGTAATCAAGTAAAAATAAATTAATTATATTTTTTTTATGTAATCGCTACAAGAAAGTAGGGAATCATTGACTGAAAACTATGGATGAAAAAGATTCCTTCAATAAATTTATAATGTCGGAGAAATCGTTCGATAATAATATATTAAATATTTAATTAAAAATATTTTCATAATTAATTATATTGTGTAAAGTATTTTTCTTAAATAATTAAATAGTAATATAAATAAAATATAAATTGAATTTAAATATTTTAAAGTACTACATTATTTTGTAAAACTACTAAAAATAAACATATATTGACATTAAATTTTTTTATTTTAAAATTATATAAATAATTAAAAATAATAATTAATTATAGGATACGTTATTTATTACGTATTTAAAATATAATGTATAAATAACTTTTTGATACACTTTTAAATTTATTTATTTAAATGATTAATAAATAAAATTATGTATACGCATTATAATAGTAAAGACTATAATTTTAATTTATCTGTAATAAAATTAATAAATCAATTAAATAATATAAATCAATGAAGTTTTTATTTTGATTTAATATTTTTAAATATATTAAAATAAAATTAATTAATCAAATAAATAATAATAATAATTTAAGAAACCCTGAAAATTAACTTATATATATATATTTTTTTATTAAATCTTCCTTATAAATTAAAATAATCTAAATTTAATCTAATTTTAAAAAAAAAATTGTTCTTCTTTTAGGAAATCTTAAATCACTGAGAAACCCTAAATTGTTCATATTTTTCAATTATTTTGTCTTCATCCATCTCTTCACAATCAGTTATTTTCTCCTCGAACTCTGTTTTTCTTGTTTACCGATGATATATGGCAAAAGCTCCATTTCCTACGTCACAAACAACTCCAACAATCATCCTTTAACCAGCATCATTTTGAATCAGTTGAAAAGGTAAAGAAGGAGTTGACCTCGTCCCCACAATTCCAGAAGCTTCCCTTGCTGGCATGTGAGGCTGTTACCCATGAACAGGTAAAGTGGGTTTCCTGCTTCTAACATTTCTCCATTTTCTCCATTTTCTTTTCTTATGTGGATGAATGATATATCGAGGGTAGGAGTTTAGTAACGGTTTTATTGTTACTGGGTTTCCTGTTTTATTGTTTCTCTTTTTATAGTGTGGAAGTTTTGGGCTTTCTACTGTGTTTTCTACGGTGAGAACTGAGAATTGTAGTCACAACTTTACATTACGTATCCTGACGAGGGATGTATCCTTGTTGTATGTTTTAGTAAATTTTGTGATTCTACAGTTAGCTTCAAGATTAAAGGTGAGTTCCTCTTTATTGCAATGCATTGATATAATTTTGTTCATTCTTTGAGTTTGAATATTAACCATGGGGTAAGGTATAAGAAATTTTACTTGTAGTGAGTAAATCTGTAAGCTGGTGCGCACTGAGTTCTATTGTAAATATGGGTATGTATACCTACCAATATAGATTAGATTTGAACATAAAGTTATTACTTTATTAAAATCATGTATACCTATCAGATGTATGATCCTCTACCCTGTAGGATTGGAATTTTTTATGATCCCACTTGACTCTAGAAATTTCATAGTAGAATAAATTCTAGAAACTCCCACTAAAATTGTAATTTATTTCACAGGATTTATAGTAATCCTTTTTTATGATAAATAAAATTATATACTGTTAAAAAATCTATAAAAATACGCATAGGTAATCAAATAAAATTTATATATCAGTTATTACTTAGAAATAAGAATAAATTTAAAAAATTGTATCAACAATTAGTTAGTAGTTAGACCATGAATAATATTGAGTTAGGACTGAAAGAGAATAAGACTCTCAAAATTTAGTATTGTAATTAATAATGTAAATTTAGAACAACTACAATCAATTATAGATCATTAGACTCCAAATTGGGTATGATATTATCTTACAAATGACAAGATATTTAACTTAATCTTACAAAATTGATTTAATAAAATATAGATTATACTCACATGTTATTATAATGTTATTATATTTTTAGTTACTATAATATTTCATCCCCTCCAAGTGAAGTGAGTAGGAAGAGAACTCGAGGGATACTAATGTATAAAATTTAATTATCATATCAAAATAAGTATATTACATGTTTAACATTACTAATTAAATTTAAATTTTGGAAAATAAATTTTATTTCATCTATCCTCTTTTCTTTTTTAACGAGTCAAAATATTAAAATAACTAACTAATTTATAACAAATAAAAAAATTATATCAATATTTTAAATTTTTATATTATACTACACATGCTAAATTGTTATAATAATAATAAAAAAATTATTTACTATTTTTTATTTCAAAAAATTTAATGTACTTTTATGTTTTAACTTCTTGTCTTATACCTTCTAAAACATAATTAAAAAAAATAACAAACTAAAGAACAAAAAATTATAATTTTTATGTTATAAAGATGAAACTGTTTAAAAGAAGAAAAATTTTAAAATTAAAGAGAAAAACTTACAAATTTATATAATAAGATGAAACCATGAAAAGGCAATAATATAAAAATGAACAAGAGACAGAAAAATATGAAAAAACAAAATGAATATCTCATAAAAAAATTGAAGAATAAAAAGGTGAAAGAAGAAAAAAATAAAATATGAAAATAAAAAAAAGAAAAAAAATAAGTGTAAAAGTTGTAAGAAAATAAATATAATATTTATTATAATTAGAAAAATTAAGAAAAAATAAATAAATTTTAAATTATATTTATATTTATATTTATAAAATAAAATTTATTTAGTTTTAAAAAAATTATAATAATTATATATATATATATATATATATATATATATATATATATATATATATGAGGGTTTGGGGACGTAACTCCCATTAGTTCCATCGTTCAAAATAATAAGGTGTGATGAAAAATCTCCAGTGAAGAAATACTGTAAAAAATCTCTCTCAGGAAGGAATGTAATGACATCCTCCATCAACTACATATTCTAATATCATAATAGTATAATTCTCATGTTATCAAATTAATTTTATAGAATTAAATTAGTTAAGTAAGTAATTTTAAAACAATCACACACGATATTTATTTTTCAAAACAATAAATAATCGATTATTATAAATTTATAATAATTATTTTCCAGATCTTTCTAATTCTAATTGACTCGATTGAAAATATAATTAATTAGTTTGTGTCTTAGATCATTTATAGAAACAAAACTTATGATTTTAAAAGATCAAAACATTTGATATTTAATTCTAAGTTGATTACTAACTTTTTCTTAACTTAATTAAAACATTAAAAACAATCTCTTAAGCTACTCTATTGATATGCATCCACCAACAAAATCATTCAACAATTTAAAGCAAGTAAAAATATTAAAAGATCTAAGGATTGCAAACTTTGCACAATTATTTACATCATCAAAACTATTCTTCAATATCATTAAGTTATGATCATTATCAAGTTTGAACCATAACAATCATATGTGGTTCTCCCTTAGTTCTGACTATCAACCTTTGATATTGGATTAAATTTTGGTATATGGAAACATAATTGAAAAGTAAATCTCACTAAGAAAAAGTCAATCAAAATTTTAGTGGAGATTAATTATTAACAAAACATTTAAGTATTTTATATCAATATAATAATAATAAATAAATAAAAACTTTATTTCGCTATTAGATTGACTAATCAAGTAAATTGTATGACAAACAAAACTTGATTTAACCTTATTGTGATGAATAAATTGATTTATAAGTCCATGTGCATATTATACTTGGTTAAAGACGACTGAATATTTAACCAACCTAAAGAAAAAACCATTTGAAATTCACATGACAAAACAAAGAGACTAATTATCATATGTTAATTAATTAGGGTTTTATGCTAGTTCTAGCTTCTACATGGTAACTAGAAGCATATCTATGAAACAAATTTAGTGCATTACTAGTGACCTCTGCAACATTTTGTGCCTTAACCTTTATAGTAGCTGTCCTCTTACTCATCTTTGTTCCAGGTAACGATTGAACACAGTAGCTAGCATCTGTTAAGGCAGTGCTCACCCACGTCTCGACGTTGCTTATGTGCCACAAGAAGTTGTCATCTATGGTGGTGCGTTTGTTCAGCATGCGGAGCTCTTTGATGGCTTGGCAAAGTTGGTCCACACTATCATCGATTTGCGTTACACAATCTTGCACAGTAAGGTATACTCTATCACTCTTGAACTCCTCCAGTTCCTTGGCCACTTTGAACAAGTAACCCCTAGTTTTTAGTGCCCTGAAGAGGCTCACCGAAAGGGCAAGATGGACCAAGTGCTGAGGGCCATCTATGGTGGAATTAGAAAATCTGGCTAGGCAACGTATGCACAGATCGGGGTACCTGGTTCCTTGGCAAGAGGACTTTATGTAAGCCATTGTTTGGTTTTGGTTTGGGGGTTGATGCAGATCCAAAGATGGCTCAACTGCTGCAAGACATAAGAAGAGAGAAAGGAAAGTTACTATGATCAATGGCTGGTTAAGGTATGCCATATGAATCGATGAGATCTTGATTTACTTTGATTTTGACTGTGATGATGAAGAGTACGAGTTCTTCAATCTCAAATGCAGATTTTTGGTAGAGTAAAATGACAAAGGAAATGTTTATATAGAGAAGCCCTTTTCTGACATCATTGGATGCACGTGATCTTCTTCTTTCTTCGTATACGTGTACTTAGTTGCACCAGCAACGAAGAACACCAATATGATCTATAACATAATTTTATTAAATGATTTGTATAGCAAATCACTGATTGGCATTAGCTTTAACTTTAGTTAAGTTATATATATATATATATATATATATATATATATATATATATATATATATATATATATATATATATATATATATATATATATATATATCACAATAAGTTTGTTTTGTCAATATTTTTTTAAGGAAAGTATGCAGATCATGATACTCTCCTTGATAAAAGATTTTAGACGTGAGAATAACATATAAAAATAAATATTATATATATATATATATTTAATATTATTAATTTAATTTAATTTTTGGAATATAAAAATTATTTTATCTATTCATTTATAATTTTATTTTTAGATATTTTAAAAATTTAAATTGATTCTTTTTTACATCTTAATATTAAAATAACTAATTAATTTATAATAAGTAAAAATATTATATCAATATGTCATTTTTATATTATACACCACATTAATTTGTTGTAATAATAAACAAAAATTACATGTTAATTTGTAACAAATAAAAATAATAAAAAAATAATAATTTGTTTTTAAATTATTGTAATGTATTTCATTTATTTTTAAACTTTTTATTTTATGTCTTTTTAAATAAAAGACAAAAAAAATTAAACAAAAAAAATTATAATTTTTATGTTATAAAAATGAAATTATAAAAAAGAAAAAATTTGAAAACTAAAAAGAAAATTTTACCATATCTTGTTATGAAACTGCGAAAAAGAATAATACAAAAGTAAATGTGTAATAAAAGGAAAAAATAGGAATATGAAAAGATAAAATGATTGTATGGTAAAAAGAAATATGAAAATCAAAATGATTGACAAGAAAAATAAAAATTTGAAAAGAAAAGGAAGTAAGAGAAAAAAATATAATTGAAAAATTGTGTAAAAAAAATATAATATTTGTAAAAAAATAATTAATTAATAAAAGAAAAAATAAAATAAAAATTAAATTTATTTTAATTTTAAAAAATTATTATATATATATATATATTTTTTTTTTATTTTTTTTTTTTGGGCATGGCCCAACTTACTCCCTTAGTTCCGCCTCTTACTACTACACACATTATAGACATGTTACTAAATAGTTTCCAATACTTTTTTTATTAAATGTTTGTTATTATATAAAAAAATAATAATTAATGAATATTTTGAATCTCTTCAATATACTTAATTATCTATTTTTTAATTAACGTGCAATAGTTTACCAATAAGAGTAATGGACCCAGAGTTCATCATACATAAAGATGTGTCTCACTACTTATGTGTGGCACGTGCAATAATGAATGCTGGTCAACTTTTTCTTGCCATAGCCTTACAGTTGTAGGTATTGACCATAGAAAGGGTTGTGATACTTAGAAAGAGAAACGTATAAAAGTAGAATAATTTGTAATGGTTTAATGTTTAAACTAAGAGATTGTTGATGATACTTTACCCTTAATCATGGTGCATCATGAACCTTAACTCGCCGATCACAACGGGTCTTTGTCTACTACAAAGAGGAAAGGTAATATAAAACACATGCTTAGTTCAACAACAGATTAAATTATAAGCACGATGACCTCTTCAGAAAAAATCTCCTATCAGAGAGTGCATGTATAATGTTTTTAAAATTTAAGATACATATTTAATATAAAAACAAAATATAATATTTTAAAAAATAAACAAGATATTTGTGTAAAAAATTAAAATATAGTGGAGTGTCAGCATAATTCATGAAAAATATCAGAAAATATTAATGAAATTTACTCCAACAACTATAATATTATTGACCCAAAATTGCTTATTTGTGTGAAGATGCTTAAGGGTAAATGTTTTCTGCAACTCCATTACTTTTTATGTATTTTGGATAAGATATTCTGGAGAATTCTCTCTTATTCTGTGAGTGTGTGACCAAAATTCAATTTGAACTGATTTGAATTATTAATCACAGAACATCCTGTAGTAAGATTTATGACGATGTAGTGAACTTTTCAAAACAGTTTATAATATATTCGAGACTGATTCTAGAAATATAAAAAAGTTAAATCTTTAGGAATGTAAAAACTAAAGCTTTTCCCTCGTTAATCAAGTCCAATATTTTTAATTTTGAACCCATTCATATCAAAACTGGGCCATATATAACCCAGAAGGTGTTTCCTCCTATTCTATGACTTGTATGCCTACTTATCGCCTCCATTTTCTCCATGCCTTTGTCACTCCTTTTAGGTTTTCTCAAGTGCTTATACCCTCGATTTTAATGTAGATTTTTAATTAATGTTTTTCAAAACTCAGATTATGTATGCTTTCTTGCCTTTATCCATGGCTTAATTAATTTGTTTTTTCTATGTTGACTTTAATAGTGACATATTTTTCCTTGTAAAACATTCCATATTTAAAGAACCATTAACATGCCCTTTTTAAGTTGCACTTGTGCTCTTGGTGATCGCGAGAGCACTCTTGGATTGAATTTTAGGACTATTTTAAAGATCAAAATTGGAAGCTATTTTAGAAGTCTGAATTTGAGGAGTACAAGGAAGGGTTTTATTTAGTTTGTATTGATATTATGTTGAACTCTTTTGATACTAATGTAAAAGGGACTTTTTTTCATCATTCATTTTTTATTGGATCCAAAAATATTTGACTTAAAAAAAATTACGATGATGTTTTTTAAATAATGAATGCAACTCTTGCAATCAACCTCCCTTCAGTCTTATAACTCTTGTATAATTTATGATTTTAGTCTCCTCAAACTTAATGATCATTTAATATATTTTCTTATATATTTACAATTTTATCCTCTCACCCTTTCATCTTCTTTTATCCTTTTATATTTATTTATTATTTATTAATAATATATTATTTGACTATCTCAAAATCAATGACCAAGATATGTTACTAACGACAATAACGACCATTCTAGCTAGCACCTTTTAAGGTATATTTCAACCATGGTGAGCGACGAAAACGCTTACATTGTGTCTCATTTGTGGTAGTTGACGTTTCTCTCCGATTAGATTAAGTTTTAGAACGTTTTTGGTATATTCGATATTAGTGTTCTCGTGTCTCTTCTTTTATGTTCAAATTGAATCTATGATTGTTTCTAAGGTCTCCATCACGTTATTGCATGAATATCTCTACTAGATTGTTTTTGAAATTGAACTTTTGTAGTTTGTGATTATCTCGTTTATTCATTTGAGTGCATTTACGGTTTATACACTCGTATCTTTATGTTTTCACAGTTTAGTTGTTTGAATCTCATATTTTTTATTGTTTGTATATTTTTTTTTAAATATGAATTTATGTTTGAATATCTATGAGTGACGAAAATTTATACCATAGAATACAAAAAGGGAGTTGAGGAATTTTTAAAATTTGTTTGTGGAAATGGAAAATCTATCAAAGGGGCATATGATTGTTCATAGGCAGTGGCGGATCTAGACCATTAATTTTGGGGGTCAAATAATATATTATTAATAAATAATAAATAAATATGAAAGGGTGAAAGAAGATAAAAATGTGAGAGAATAAAATTGTAAATGTATAAATAAATATATTAAATGATCATTAAGTTTGAGGGGACAAAATCATAAATTATATGAGAGTTAAGAGTGATGAGAGGATAAAATTGTAAATATACAATTAAATATATTAAATGATCATTAAGTTTGGGGGGGCCAAAATAATAAATTACATAAGAGTTACAAAATTTTGGAGGACCACGACCTCCCTCAGCTCCTTAGAATATCGGTCATTATCCATATGTTGGTTGTTTGAAGCAAATTCGTCATAAACTTGGAGATATACGTGATCACTTATTTGTTTATGATATTGTTAAGAATTATACACTATGGACATGATATGGGAAAATATTAGACATCTCAACTATGTCAGCAGTAGACAATTTTGAAGGGAAGGATGATAATTTAGAGGATATGATAAGTGATATTGGTGAATAAAATTTTAAGAAAACACATCTATATGATTATTTGAAATCTGATTTTCAGTATGAATTATACCCAGTATGTAGTTTTACAAGATTATCAACAACTTTAAGATTGTTTATGGTTTCACCATGTTTGATTATGGTTTCATCATATCCTTATCCTCTTTCACATTTTCCATTTTTCTTAAATGTTAGGTGGAATTTTGTAAACAATAATTTTTATTTTGAACTTTAATTAGGAATCTATCATTATAGCTAATAAGATCATATTACTTGTTTTATCCTTTATAACATTGTCCTTTGACATGTACACTAATTTGAGTTGAGTTACAAAATTTGATGAAGTCTAGGTGTTATGTTTTGTTCTACATGTGAGTGTGAGTGTGAGTGTGTCTAGAATATGGAGGTATGTCTGTTTTAATCCACTCTCTAAGCTAATCATTCTCTAATATAGTAGGAATGCCTCAATCTTTGTTAAAAAATATTAGTTTAAAATTGTTTTAATATGTTAAAACTGGCTTTAATATGTTAAAATATTTTTTGGATCGATTTTTAATTGATAAAAATTCAAAATCACTTGAACATCATTATGTTTCAAAGTTTTAGTGGATTAAACTAGTATTTTTATCCGTTAAAATGTTCTTGATGATATTTTTGGATAATATCATTCATGACTTTATAACTTGTTATAAGTTAAAATATTCTTGTAACTTAGTGAAAATTATGACTTCGTTGTTTAATTGATTATTTGAAGGTTTCATCTCGTTAACAATAACCATTGGAATATTAAGGAATAATATCTCACTGCTTTAATGAATTAATCTTGTTTTTCATAAGTTAAT